ACTCGCTCTGCTTCTATGAGCAGAGCCGGCTGGACCTGGGGGTCAGACTAGATGGCCCAGGAGGCCCCTTCTGACTCTGTTTCTATTTCAGTAAGTTTCTTTCCTACCTCCAAAGCAGACCTCTGCCGCTGTCTCTCGTCCGTACCTGGTACAGTAGAGCAAAAACATAGGCATGCTGTTCAGTTGTTGCAGGGGCAAAAACACTATGTTTACTACAAGCGGTATGCGGTCCCCTTTTCAGGCGGGAGCAGCCGCTGTGAACCTCGAGCAGGCGGCTCAGGCCAGCCAAGGGGCCCTGCATGACGAAGGTGCGCAGGCCCAGTCGGTCCCCCCGTTAGTGCAGAGCCCAGAGGGCAGCCAGAGACGAATGAAGCGACCAACGGAAGTAGACAGGACGGCTCAGCCTTAGGCCAACCCCAGCCACAGGACTGCGCAGCCTGTCGGGAGCCCGTCTGCAGCCGGTGGCGGTGGCTGTGCCAGCCGAGATGCCGCATCCGGGGTGTAGGCACCATGTCCGAAAACCGGGCGAAAGACTTGTCAAAGAAACCACCACGGGGCTGACTCTGCGGCTTCGGCACGGCTCGTTTTGGCTCCTCACGTCAAGAGGTCCACGTCCATCAAAGATCTGAGCAGGCCAGTGAAGATGGCTGTTGCCAGCAGGCCTGTCGAGCAGTTTTCATCCCTTGCACTGTTGCACCTGTTTTCCTGGCAGCAGGTTAATGTATACAGGTGTGGCCAAGCTGATTTGGAGATGGGGCATATTTCTACGCAGCCTTGTAGAATTCTGAATCCAGACTTGGAGGTAGCTAAATGTGGAGGGAAAACCCAAAGGTCAGACTATGTCCAGGCCAGATGGCTCTAGCACAGAGAGGCAATACCTTCTCCCAGGATTCGCCCTCTGGGGGGGGGGGGGAGGAGGCCACGTGCCTTTCCCCTGCCCCTCCCTTCCTCCCAACCACCAAATATTTGCTGGTTTATTCTCCTTGGTACAGTTTTCCTCCTATTCTACAAGGTTGAAATTTCTCTCCAAAAGCTGAACCAGCTTTACGCTCAGAAGATCTTCTGAAGAACATCACGAGAGCCCTGGTTATTGGTCATCGTTCCAGCGTGTGGAAGGGAATTCCATGGGTTAACTCTCTGCTGTGGGGTGGGCTTGTATTTTTCCCTGCCCCCTTTCTCTTCAGCCCCACCCTGCCCTGAAATGCAGCCCCGAGAGCTTCTCTGGGAAGACTCTCCCTTCTCAGGCTGCAAGACACTGCAGTGTGTGAGAGAGTGTGAGACTGGGGACCCAAGCGACCTGGGTTCTAGTCCGGACACGGCCGTGAAGCTCTTTGGGTGGCTTTGGGCCTGGCTCTCCCTCTCAGCCCAACCTACCTTGCAGGGGTGTTGTTGTGAAACTAAAATGCAATTACATGGACTGCGCAGAGTTCCTTGCAAGAGGAAAAAAGTTTGGATGTAAATACAAGATGATTATAATTTAAAGCATTTTTTCCACCCCAAGCAGGAGACGTCAGCAGAGCTGCTGCCTCTTTCCGAGAAAAGGATCTTGGTATCCCGGTAAATGCAGCTCACTTAGAAGGCTGCCACAGTGAGCAAAAACCAGTGGGGTTTTCGGATTTCTTAGGAAAGGGGCAGAAAATAGAATTTTGTGCAATTCTAGTCACTGGCTGGGTTCAGACTACGTGATAGTTTCCACCTGAACTGTGGCTTGTTGTTGAAACACGGCTTATCAGGTTTCCAAAGCCAGACAAAGTAACAAACCTTGCTGAACAACCCACAGGTGGACAAGCCAACCACAACCCCTGGTTTCTCCAGTCAGCAAGCCAGAGCTGGGGCTTACAACATGATAACGATGGTTCAAAACAACCTTGAGTGTGGGTTACTGTGATGTCCGAACTCAGGCACTGCTTCTCAGACAGGATCAGCCGAGTAACGCCAGGCCATTTCCTCAGGCTGCTCCCAACAGCTAAGCACCAAGGGCTTCTCAAGCCAGTCCCCAAACTGGGCATCGCCGATCTGAGCCAAGAGTGAAGAATCAGATGCAGAAACTGGAAAGCACTGGAAAGGTGCAAGCTCAGCAGCCGGGGAAGTCCAGCCCGGCCCAGGCGCTCAGGGGCTGAGCACCTCCTGTATACAGAAGGGCTCAAGGGTTTGCAGTGTGCTTGTTCATGAATGCAGGGCTTAAGGGGAGAGGCTCCTTCGAGGCGTATCAAAGCAGGCGTATCCCTGCTTCAGAGAATGTGAGGACTGTCTGCCTCCCTCATGACGTTCGACTTCAAGGAAGCTGAATAGCCGACAAAAGAAAAGACTTCGTCTTCACACGGTTGTCATTTAGCAGCTTAGCAGCAGAACCTGCTCAGCAGTGAGATTCGCAAGCTTCCCTCGTTCAAACTTCCAGCCAGCCAGACCCTTTTCTACAGCACTCCATTCCGGCCAGGCTCTTCCTCTTCTCCTCCTAAGAGAAATTCTGCCCTCCGGGGCTTCTGAGGGTCGTCGTCGTTCCTTCTCACAGTTCTAGTGCTGAAGGGGTGATTTTGCTCTGGGAGGGGCTTCTCATGTCTGCAAACTAAAACCACCCTCTCCTTGCCGTGGACCTGGCTGACTTCCCTGCTACTTATAAGCGATCATAGGAAAGAGCTTTGCTTGTTATTGAAAACAAAAGGAGAAAAGCAGTGCCAAGTGCAGTTAAAGGGGTTTTTTTTGGGGGGGGGATCATATAGGCAACCCCCATCTCATTCATTTCTTGATAGCCTTTCCTCGTTATCTATCTGACACCCATCTTGGAAGTGCCCCCAAAAGCATCGATGTGGGACCTGCTAAGTTCCAGCATTTCGAAGAGGAATTCCTTCGCCTTTTGACTGCTTGTGTGGAGGCAGTGTAAGCAGATGTTATGCTCATGGTGTGCAAGGCAGGGGGTTTCGGCTTTTTTGCCTCCACCGCAGCAAACCTGATAAATATGGTGCTTTCTTCGGCCCCCCTCCATATGGAGGGTCTTTCCCCCTGTGTCCTGCCCTCTTCCGCAACTGCGGGGAAATTTCCTTCAGAGCTGACACTGGAGAAGATCAGATTCAAGCCCCACCCCACACGACCGCCGTGGAAATTGCTGTGAGTTGTTAGAAACAACACACGCATTCACAAGTGCATTTCTGGCAGCATGTGTCGTCTGGGTCTTTTCAGCCTGTCAGTGGGATTTGCATGCATTCACTGGGGATGCAGGTGATTTAGGACGGGGGTTAATGGGACCCCCATATTCAAAGGCAGTACAGTTCTAACTGCCACTTCGGGGGACAGAGAAACAAAGGGGACATCTGGCCGGCCACTGTCGGAATCCGTTTTCCAAGCCCAAGAAGCCTGAGGGACAAAGAGTCGGCACACAACGAGTTCAGCAACTGGGCAAGAGCAAAATAAGGGCTATTTATTGATTCTCTCCCCCCCCCCCACCCCGCCCAGCCGTGTGTGTGTGCTCTGGGGAATCACAATTACCAGCTGAAGCCAAAACAAGGACACAGCAAAGGGGACAAAGTCCCAGAAACTTCACACACTTACCAATTGAGAGCTAAAATTCTGGGAGCTAATCCAGCCTACAGCCTTGGCCAAGCAGCGAGTCCATATTTAAACCAAACCAAGCTTGGAAAGGGGAAAGAAAAGCAGTGCCAAGCCCTGGGCTGTCAGGCGCCACCGCAGGCCCAGCTAGTGGAAGGGTCTGCTTCTCAACGAAAAGCGAAGGCCAGCTTCGGTTTAGGCTCAGGTTTTGAAGGCCAAGGAGGAGCTCACAAGCAAAAGCTCGGAAAGGGAGGCGTCCCAAGTTTGAGAGTCCACTTTGGAAAAACGTTCTTCTCCGCTCTCCCAAATCAGGGCCCTTTGTCTGTCCCTCCAAGCACTCCTCCGCTGTTGGGTTCCTCACTACGCAGAGCCTTCCCACTGCCATGGGGGCAATTGACAAGTATTCCCATTCTCCGGAAGCTGGGGCAGACCAGCCGCTCCACCCGCACTTCCCTTGCCTCTCCAGTACGGCTGGCCAATCAGTCTGGCAGCAGCGGCAGCCGCTGTTGGGCCAAACTACATAGAAGGAGGCAGATTTCGGTCGGCACCCGTTCTCCAAGCATGAGGAGCACCAGAGAAGAAGGGCCACAGCCCCAGCGACACCCGGGAGCACGCAAGCGAGCTGCGCAACCGAGAGCTCGGCAACAGGATAAGCAGGCCTGCCCTCCCTTCTCACGTAGTTGCACCTGCAAATGAAGAGTGAATGCCCAAACCCTAACCCCAGCACCATGGACAGCTCCTGTGAAGCCGAACAGAAAAGCTGCAGGGGACAAGGAGCTCCACTGACAAAGGAGCCCCCTGCCATGCCGTTTTTGGACACTGCATTACTGTACAAACACCGACAGCCCTTCTTACTCCTGGCACAGTGCCCTTGGCTGAGCTAACACAACTGCTTCTCACACCACAGGGGGTGCAACCGCTGTTTGGAGCTCTCGTTCCTCAGCAGCAGACGCGGCAGTTGCAGCTTTCGGGCTGTCGGGGCTTCTTTGCCCAATTTCCAGGAGCACTTGTAGCATCACCTCCAAGACCCATGATACTCCATCGTCCACGGCCCCGCTAGAACCTTCCCCCACTGGTCCAGGAAGACCCCGTTCACTTCAGTACTAACCATGGTTGCAGAAATGCCGATCGCTGCACAATACCCCTTGGAATGCTGTGCATAGCCTCACCCGTCCATCCCCCCAGACTCCATGGCAGAGGATGCTCTTGATAAAGCTTGGCTGGAGCATGTTCTGAAGGACCGTGCCCCTTGCTAGCAGGGTCACAAGACTAGAATTTGCAAGCCAAGTGGAACTTAAGATGAGAAAATCTTCACTGCAGCTTACAGGGAACAAAGGCCTTGGCGAGCCACTTAAGAGGCATGGCCTAAATTTCTGGGAGGGGCAGGTGGAATTCCGATTGAGCAAGAAGAGACCAGGTGTACCATCTTAGAGGGTTTTAAGATTTCACAGACTTACTTGTGTATCTCATGCAGAAGTGGTCAGTTTCAGAACAGTTTTCAATATCTGGGCAGCCAGCATATTTCGAGTCATTGCAGGTATAACATTGCAAGGATGCAGCTGTAGAGAAAGAAGGACCATGCATGGCAAACACGCCATTTATTGTGTCAAGCGTCAAAACGGGAAGGGGCTTCCTCTAGAGAGAGGCAGATTTTTCCATCTGTGTTCCATGGACTGTCAGCCCCCTTTCATTCCATCCTCCCCTGATCGATGCAATGGGATCCATCTTTGAGAGATGAGAATTCGATTCCACTTGTGCATGAGTGCAAAATCGGACTTTGTTCATGGGCCATCACATTCACAGGGTAGTCCCATGCCCACAATCTTGGGAAACCATTGCGACAGAATTAAGGCCTCAGTAGCACCATTTGCCGGACACCAAGACCAAATTTGAAGGCTTCTCCAACGGCCACCTCCAAGGAAGGCTCAGCTGGCATCGTCTAGGAGAAGGGCCTCGTCCATGGTGGCTCTCCAATTCGAACTCCCCAGCGAGACCTGCCTGGCCCCCACTTTGCCAGCTTTTCAGCACCAGGTAAAGACTCCCCTCTACTGCAGGGCATTCCATTAGTTTACTGGAACTTATTAGTTGCCAAAGAGGTCCTAAGACTTTCAAGTTATTGTAATTTTTGTATCTGTTTTAAATGTTGTGGGTGTTGTGAGGTTTTCATATGGTGCCTTTCATATTGCACTTGTCATGTGCTGTTGTGAGCCGCCCTGGCAGCCTTGCCTACTGGGCAGCATAGGAAGCCAACCAACCGGAAATGGGTCCCAGGGAGAGGAACCAAAATGTTCCTCAGACACCCCTCCGGATGCCGTGCTGGACTCTGCACTCAGGCCTGTCTGGAGCCAAGCCGCAGACAGAAATTCGCTTGGCTGATCCAGGACCACCCACCCTCCCACCCACCCCGACATGCTGGTGCATTTCCACCAGCCCCGTTTATGAAGGATGAGCCGTATCTCTGGTCCCGACCCTGGGAGATCACTGACCCTTTGAGTTGCTAGGCTTTGCCCTGAATGTATGGAGGCGGCATCTCTGGAGGACGGAGGACCTCAGATGCTGGTGCAGTGGACAACCTGCATCCCTGCAGGAGTTTTTACTTGCAGCTGCCACTACTCTTACCTGGAACAGCCACTCTTGAGGACGGCAAGCCGAAACACGTGGAGATGCCCACCCCTAGTGTGAGTTTTGCTTGGCACCAAGGGCCCCCAAGGATACTGCTCCAGGAGCGACTGGCGGCCATGCCAAAGACTCACCTCCCTTGGTCCAGAGGACAGCATAGGTCAGCAACAGGAGGGCTCGAAGAGCCGCCATCTTGTCATGTCTGCTGGGAAGATGCTACTCGGCCGTGGATGCTGCTTCTTCCTTTTGTTGTGCAAAATAAGCATGTCAATCATTCATCGCAGAAACAGACAACTCCATCTTGCACCGTACGTGTGCGGCACGCAAGTGGTCAGGGCTGGCCCTCCAGTGAAGCCATATGTCTAGATGAATTTATAGACTCAGATTTAAGTGGCACATTTTAATGAAGGCGTGATCTTCTCAGAGGTATGAGTCAAACACTAGCCTGAAGGTTTATGAGCATGCTTTCTTCTGTGTTATAATTGTCAAAGAATGCTTAGCAATAATAAAATTAGCCCTCCAAGTATGGAACAGTGGATAGTATTAATCAGGTAGTCATTTCTGCACATGCTCATAAAACAGTCTAAGTTTCTGATTTTAGAATGCGGGCGCTTCTCATTAGCACTTCCCCAGGACGGTGGAGATGCTGGCCCAAAAGCCTGCTTGGAGCGGAAAGGAGAACTTTATACCTCAAATGTGACCCCTTATGTTTAAAACTGTGGGTTTAACAACAAAAAATGTCCCTGTGTCATTTTATGCAAGCCAGATTTTAATGGAATGTTACACTTGCATTCCTAATTTCAAAAACTGGATCAAAAAGATCCATTTTCCATTACTAGCTCTTGTTAGTACAGAACCAGCACTGAATCCACCTCTGGCGAGTTTTGGTGTCTGCTTTGTTAAGCGTGTGGGTTAGCTATGGGCACTTCACTGTGACCCAAGGATTGGAAACACCAGCCAAGGCTAAATCTGCAAATAGTCAAAGGTAAGATGCTCAACCGCCAGGCCGTGGTTCTGCCCTAGCGTTACTGCTCTCCTATTTTGAAATTCAAGGAGGAGGAGGAGGAGGAGGAGGAGGAGGAGGAGGAGACTTGACAAAAATGAATTTTAAGTAAAACAGCTCCATCTGCTGTTGGGAAGTAAATCAGGCGGCCAAGTTCAGCTTAATTTTTATCCATATAATATTTTTGAATGTCCACAGGCTGCTGTGTTTGGAGCACATCAGGAGGAGGCAAGACTGAAGAGAGAAGATGGCCGTGTCCAAGGCAGAAGAGAAGGAAGACCCACCGCGACATGGGGGGGCTCCGTACAGGCAGGCGTGGCCTTTGCTTTCCAAGTGCAGAGGAGGGCTTATGGGGGGGGGGGGGCCTTCGGAGAGCTTCCATTTGGAGGACTGCCCTAAGTCCAAGACAACTCACTCAAGTCACGTTGCTCCAGGAAGTTCTACTCGTGGTGCCAATGGCCCGTGCGCACTTCTGTTGCCCTTTGAAGGAGGGGTGTGCACCCCACTCCAGCCCAGGTCTTGCCCAGGGGCCCATGGAAGTCCTCACATGTTAAAATCACATGCAGAGAAACACCTTCACGCAATCATAACCACCCCATGCGACTTGATTGCTACAAACTCTTGATTCTTCTGACCATGGCTAGCATCAGTGACCCGTGTAGAAAATGCAGCCGCGGCTCTTTGCGACTAACAGATCAACAAAATGCGCAACCCAAGGGCCACAAGAGGACACGCAACCCTTTTGTCGCCCCTGCAAGGCCATGCACCCTACGCATCTTGCTCTAAAGCAGAAAGGCGCCGTTTTCGCCCCTGCTGGGTTCCAGTTGCAAGACCTGTGCACCCCAGGGAAGGAAATTGCCCCCAGACCCTTTGAACTCGCCCAGCCCTTAGCCACAAGGCCTGCTGGGACTTTAATCACCTTTGTGGCGCTTTCTTAGCCCCCTGGCTAAGAAACCCCCCTTGGATTCCACCTCCCACCTCGCCGGTGCTCTCACCTGCTTTCTAGGGCAGGTCTCGTCCTAAAAGCGCTGTCCCGGAAACACGCCACTCCTTCCGCTGGCCACATGGCCTGCCGGCCACCCCAGAACGGAACTTGCCGGCTATTGTTCTGCCGGAATCAGAAGGCGGAATGGATTCCAACTGGGGAATCCCATTAACCGGGAGGTGGGGGTGGCGGGAGGGCATGCTTTGCAGCCCATTAGCCAAGCTGGTTTTGGGCAAGGGGGCGCATGGCCCTTCAGTAGCCCCCCGCAGTGGGCCGAGAGAGTCCTCTGAGATTCCAAGGGAATGATGTGCAAGCTCCAGGTTTACCTACGAGGAGGACAGCTCTTCACTTGCTTTCGAAAGAGTTCGACAGCCAGCCACTCACAACGCACTGCTCTCTTTGCGCCCAATTTAGCAGCCAATTTGGGATCCACCTAATAGCTTTTCTATCCACTTTTTTTGCTGATTAGAATGTCGCGCAGCCCTCTGTCAAAAGCGTTGCTAAAGTCAAGGTGGATTGCGTGCACTGTGTTCTCGCTGTCCATCCAGGAGGTGACACGGTCAAAAAATGAGATTAAATTAGTCTGAGAGGATTTATTTTTGATAAATCCATGTCGGCTTCTATTAATCACCGCCTTTTCTTCAAGGTGCTTGCAGACTGGTTTTTTAATAATTTGCTACAAATTTTTTCGAGGGATTGATGTCGGACTAACATCCGTAGTTCTCAGGTTTATCACCCACCCCCCTTTTTTTTTCTTGTCTTTTTTTTTGAATATGGGGACATGTGCCCTTCTCCAGTCGTCTGGGACTTCTCCTATTTTCCAAGATTTATTAAAGAGAATAGCCGGTGGTTCTGAGAGTTCCTCCACTGGCTCTTTTATAACTCTGGGATGGAGTTCATCAGGCCCTGGAGAGCTGAGCATGCTTATTCTGTCAAGGAATTCCTTCACCGTTTGTCTACCGATCCTGCCACTTCCAGCTTGTGCCTCTTCCTGGTTGTAGGTTTTCTTATCTCCCTCATCTGGGAGAAGACTGAGGCGAAGTAGGAACTGAGCACCTCCGCCATGCCTTTGCGGTCTGTTCTCACTCTGCCACCCGCCTTAAGGAGCTGGACACCCTCGCCTTTCTCATGTCTTCTGATGTGGACGTATCTGAAGGCTTCCGTGCTGCTCTTAGCATCACTTGCTATCCTCTGCTCCTTTCTTGCTTTAGCCTTCCTGATGCCGCCCCAACTCTTCCTCTGGGGCTTGGCCCTGATTCCGCTTCCCGCACACGTTCTTTTTTCCCTTTCAGGCTGTCACGTAACTCAAGTGGGCTGCCTCTGCTGTCTTCCCCACTCCTTTCCTGCAGGAATCCTTTGTAGCGGTGCTTGGAGGATCTTTGTTTTCACGATTTCCCACCCCTCCTGGACTCCTTTTCCCTTGAGCGTGAGCTGCCATGGCACTTCGCTTATCATTGTTCTGGGTTCGTTGAAGTTGGCTTTCCTGAAGTCCAGGATGTGTGTTAGGTACCATTAACCCTTTGTCTCCCCCATAATTAAGAATCCAAGTATCGCGCGGTCACTTTCCCCCAGAGTTCCCACGGCTGCTATTTCGTCCACCAGGCCATCCCTGTCAGTAAGCATTAAATTGAGGACAGCCGGTCCTCTTCTTCCTTCCTCTGCTTTCCGCTGGAGAAAGCTGTCAGCAACACCCGTCAGGAATCTCTTGGAGGGGCCATGCTTGGCAGAAATGGTCTCCCAGCATTTATCAGGGAAACTGAAGTCCCCCATGACGGCTACATCATTCTTGGAAATGCCGGCAAGTTGCTTTTCAAGGGTTGCCTCCTTGTCCTCTTTTTGACTGGGCGGTCAGTAATAGATGCCAATAACTGTGTTTGCCTTACTTTTGGCTCCTCCCAGATGCTTTTGATGTGCCCTTGTGCCAGGGCCCGGCCTAAGGGTACACCGAAGCCAAGCACGGAGCAGTCCAGGCCGCGTCGAGGCTGCCTCACAGTCCGCCATGGAAGGACTTTGCTGCTGTTAAGACCCTCGGACACGTGGGCACTGCCAGCATCCCGGCTGCTCTGCGGCTCCCTCTGGTGACCAGAACCAGAACTGCTCCCTGCTGGAGCTCTTGGCCTCCTGAGGGTGCCGGCTGGGAGCCCTGGAGGAGAGCTCCATAAGAGCAACCTCTGCCCTCCAGAACGGACCTCTGCAGCGCGACTCCTCCGGCCGGCTGCAGTCCCTGGACCCCGCCTGACCCAGGTCCGGTCTCCAGCAGTAACCCAGCAAGAGAGGGATCTTGGGGCGGGGGGTGGACGGCGCAGTGAAAACGTTGCGCAGCTGCTGGGAAGAAGGCAAACTCCGCATCAGGCGTCATGAGGAATGGACCGGCAAGCACCGCTGCGTACAACCCTTATGCAAATCTTTGGTGAGGCTGCACTCGGAACGTTGTGCTCTGTTCTGGTCGCCCATCCTGAAAAAAGGATGTTTGGGAGTCGTAAAAAGTACAGACCGGGGGAACAAAAATGACCCGGGAGGTGGAGCAACCCCCACGAGAAGCGGACACGGCGACTGGGACTGTTCAGCTTAGAAAGGAGCAAGGAGAGACGTGACAGAAGTGTGCAAAATAATGCGTCATGTGGAGTAAGTGGCGAGGGAGACCTCATTAAGATTGCTCTCCCTCTCCCATGACCCTCGAGCCCAAAGAGTCGTCCCATGAAGGAGATGGGGGCGGGGGGAGTTCAGGACAGGGTGGTGAAGGCCACCAGTCTGGACGGCTTTAAAAAGGGACCGGGTCGATTCATGAGAGGAGGCTATTGGTGGCTACTAGCCTTGCTGGCTACAGGTTGCCTCCAACACCAGAGGTGGCCTGCCTGTAAACCCCACTTGCTGAGGAGCTGGGGCAGGTCTTGCCCCCATCGTGCTGGAGGGACCCCACAGTTTGCCATCGTGCGTGCCATGTGTCTGACTTGATGGATCTTTGGTCCGATCCAGCAGTGGCCCCTCTCATGCACCCCGCCCTGCTCTCACCTCAGCAATGCAGGTCGTCCAGCTAGCTGTGGTTCCCTTGCACACCTTGCCTGACTCTGGCACCACCTGGCTCTTGCTATGCCCCACCTTGCCGTGCCCCGACTTCCTGTACTGCCTTAGCAACGCAAGTCCTCTTGAGAGCTCTGGTCTGCAGCCTGCCCAAACTCCTTCCTGTCCTGTCCTGCCTTGTTGCCTTAGTGATGCAGGTTTTCCTGCAAGCTGTAGTTCAGCTCCTGCCTTGTTGCCTTAGTGATGCAGGTTTTCCTGCAAGCTGTAGTTCAGCTCCTGCCTTGTTGCCTTAGTGATGCAGGTTTTCCTGCATCCCGCCTGACCCTTTGCTGCATATCCTGCCCTGCCTTGCCTTGCCTGTCTCTCACCTTCACTGCTCCCGAATTCCGCTGCTTTCCTGCCCCAGGGTACCTGCCCCCCTTTGTCTTCCTGGTTCTCAGGACTTAGCCTGCCTATGACCATGTCCATGTCTTGCCCTCGTACGCACTCCCAGCTCCTTACGTCAGCCTGCTCTGTGACCATTTGGACTTGCCATTAGACTTTGGACTTTGTCTACTCTTAGATCCCGATGTCCTGATCTTGATGTCCCTCTCTCATCTCCCGCCACACTCGCCCAGCCGATGACAGGCACATTCCGCAAAACGGCAACAAAAAATTAGGAACTGATATGGTAAGAATCAAAACATATTTATTCAAGTTCAGAAAGCACAGGAAACAAGCTTCTGAACATTGTCCAAAGTGGATATACTGTTTTAGGTCAACGTAACAGGCAAAAAAGTGGGGTTTTAGCAAAGCTTTACAGAAAAGAAACCATCTCATGGGGTGTTGTTTTCCCTCGCGTCCCTCCTGGTGATCCATTGAGCAAGCAAAATGTTAAGGCCCCTAGAATGATTTAAAGCCCTCCCAGGGGATTAGGAATGTTTTCGTCCAGGAGAGTTTTGACTTCCTTTGGCACAAGACTGTTTCGGTGACCTGTGGGATATTTCATGGGGAGGTGCACAACTTCTGCAGCCTCAAAAAGTGGAGTGGCTAAGCAAAATCTCCCCCTGCCCCGCCCCACCCCTTCCCCAATCATCTTCCTGTCTACAATGTTTGGTCAAGTGCCAGGCTGTGGTTAACTGCAATCATGTAAAATGCCATTATTAGTATAGGAATTCTGCAGTGTTTGGGGCTGTGATGCAGGTCCAGGCTCCAACTCATTTGCGTGCGGCGCTTGCAGGATCACAGCCTGGGCCCAAAGAGATACAGGAGGCTGGCCAGCATCCCGGCAGCCAAGACCAGTTGGTTACTTTTGACGCTGGAAGCCCCGCTGATGTTGCATAAGAAGGAGGAGCAGCAATTTACAGACGCCGCCATGATGCCAATGTTGACTCCTGACGCCGGACAGATGGGGACGCAGCCTTTGCTGATGGACTGCTTGGAATACCCACCTGGCAGGGAGGAGAGGAGGAGGAAATGGGTTTTTGGAATTCAGCAAACGCACTGGCCGTTTTCCAGTGCCCGGAATGCCTCCCTTCCCACCAGTTGGTGCAGCGAAGCCCCCAGTCCAAACCTCTTTCGGCCACATGGTTGCAAGGAGGTCCCTGGCTCTCGGCCTGCTATTTCCCCCCACACTGCTGGTTGCAACACCCCTGTAAGGTAGGCCACTGCTGCAGAGCAAAGCCTCGATGTTTCCCCCTTCCCTTTCGTCATTCTCCCTGCGGTGTTTCTCCTCCATGCTCTCCTATCCATCTATCTCAAGACCAACCTTCTCCAACCCAGAACCTTCCAGACAGAGGGCATATGACTCCCATCACCACAGAGCACAGCCAATGGCTGGGGATACTGGGAATGGTAGCCCAACACATCTGGAGCGTGCTGTGTTGGGGGAGAAATGCCATGATGTGAAGCCCGTGTTTTTCTGACACACAAGACTAGAATACTGCACACCCCACAACCAAACTGAACACCCTGACAGTGCCCATTCCCATGTTTTTCTATTTACATCCCAGATTGGCAGCCCGCAGTCCTCCAGATAGTTAGGACTACAACTCCCATCAGCCCCAGCCAGTAGTGACAGATAATGGGAGTTGCAGGCCCAAACATATTGAGGGCCACTAGTTGCCTGCCCCTGTAAGGGACAGGGACAAAACCAATTTTCATTAGCTAGTTAAATAATTGCAGGGTTTATTTATCTATAAACCCAACACTCAGGATGGCTTATGAAAAAATTAAAAATTACAGCAACTACAAAAATCAGTGGCACAACACAAACTGTAGGAACATTTCCAGTCAATGAAAAAAAAAGTGGGCAAGCCAGGAAAACTCCGTCCGGCAGGTCAAACGCCTGCCAGAGCAAAATTCTCTCCCTCCGCAGTCCTAAAAGTGTCTCCCCCGCCCCAGTCTGCGGGGGTTCCTCCCAGGTAGGGAAGGGGGTCTGGGGTCAAAGCCCCCATTAGGGGGCAAGGAGAAATGGGACCAAAGAGACCTCCGCGTCTGGGCCATAATCCTGGAGGAATCCGCTCTCAGAACGCTGGACAAGGCAAAGGGGTGATTTGGTCTTGCCAAGCGATCCAGGCAGTGATGCCACAGAAAAGCCGCCATGGAAAATACACCTACCAAGCGATGCTCCAATATACGTTGTGGCACAATAGTTGTCAGAGTTTGAACATATCTGCCACCTCCAGCAGCCCCAGTTGGACTCCGCTCCTTCGCAGGACCAGCACACCAGCGAGAAAGCTGCAAGACAGTTTGAATGCCGGCCCCCCGATCAGATACACGCGGGACGCTTTCCCCGGCTTCGTTCTGCACCACGCAACCTGCGGTCAAGCGTGGTTCGAACGGGAGATCACAAGGTGACTGTCTGCGTAGAGGACACAACTCCAACACATCCCAGTCGCTGTAACAGGCACCCCCAGTTCACTGCCCGCCCACCGAAACCCACCTATCCCCCCACCCACTTCCAGTTTGTGCAAAGATTAGAGAAGCGAAGCATCTGGCCCGCCACACGGAGAGATGCTTCTCCTATCTGGAGCCAAAAAGACGTCGTGTGAGGCTATCATTCTGAAACACATTTCAGTTACAATATCCTGATATTTCCGGATATAACACTAAAAAGAGCAGCCCAGTGAGTCCTTCACTTTACCAAACATTGTAAGGTTAAAATCAGTTGCATTTCTAAGTTTCATACCTTTTACCATTTAGTTATTTGTAGTTGCTCTAATAAAATTAATCCTTCAAACACACAAACACACCGTTGCTGGGATTCAACAATATTTGGCAGGTGAATCTTTTCAGAGAGATCCACTGCAAGGTGAAAAGATTTCCATGCAAGTACTAAGACAGTATTCCAGCTGAGCTATTTAAAATCTTAAAAAATGATGCTGTAAAAGTGCTACACTCAATATGCCAGCAAATTTGGAAAACTCAGCAGTGGCCACAGGATTGGAAAAGGTCAGTTTGCGTTCCCATCCCAAAGAAGGGCAAGGCCAAAGAATGTTCAAACTACCGCACCATTGCACTCATTCCACATGCTAGCAAAGTGATGCTCAAAATCCTACAAGCCAGGCTCCAGCAGGATGTGGACCAAGAACTACCAGAAGTACAGGCAGGGTTTCGAAGAGGCAGAGGAACCAGAGATCGAATTGCCAACATACACTGAATCATGGAGAAAGCTAGGGAGTGCCAGAAAAACATCTACTTCTGCTTCATTGACTATGCTAAAGCCTTTGATTGTGTGGATCACAACAAATTGTGGCAAGTTCTTAAAGAGATGGGAGTACCAGACCATCTTATTTGTCTCTTGAGAAACCTATATGCGGGTCAAGAAGCAACAGGGAGAACTGGACACGGAACCACTGATTGGTTCAAAATTGAGAAAGGAGATCGGCAAGGCTGTATACTGTCACCCTGCCTATTTAACTTATATGCAGAGCACATCATGACAAAGGTGGGGCTGGATGAATCACCAGCTGGAATTAAGATTGCCCGGAGAAATATCAACATCCTCACATATGCAGATGATACCACTCCCATGGCAGAAAGTGAAGAGGAACTAAAGAGCTTCTTGATGTGGGTGAAGGAGGAGAGCGCAAAAGTTGGCTTGAAACTCAACATTAAGAAAACTAAGATCATGGCATCCGGTCCTCTTGCTTCCTGGCAAATAGATGGGGAAGAAATGGAGGTAGTGACAGATTTTATTTTCCTGGGCTCCAAGATCACCACACACGGGGGCTGCAGCCAAGAAATGAAAAGACACTTGCTCCTGGGGAGGAGAGCTATGGCAAGTCTAGACTGCATACTAAAAAGCAGAGACATCACCCTGCCAACAAAAGTGCGTATGGGCAAGTCTGTGGTTTTCCCAGTTGCAATGTATGGCTGTGAAAGCTGGACCATAAGGAAGGCTGAGCGCCGAAGGATTGAGGCCTTTGAATTGTGGTGCTAGTGGAGATTCCTGCGAGTCCCTTGAACCACAAGGCAATCAAACCGGTCAGTCCTAGAGGAGATCAACTGTGACTTCTCTTTAGAAGGCCAGGTCCTGAAGATGAAACTCAAATACTTTGGCCACCTAATGAGAAGGGAGTACTCCCTGGAGAAAAGCCTGATGCTGGGAACAATTGACGGGAAAAGAAGAAGGGGACGGCAGAGGATGAGGTGGCTGGATGGAGTCACTGAAGCAGTTGGCATGAGCTTAGGTGGACTCCAGGGGATGGTGGAAGACAGGAAGGCCTGGAGGAATGTTGTCCAGGGGGTCGCGATGGGGCAGACACGACTTCGCGACTAATAACATAACTAAGGCAGGAAAGAGGCATATTTGCTATTTTTTGACCCAGCCAGAAGTTCTGAGTTCAGACAACAGGGAATTTGTATAAATGTAAGAGAGGAGAGTGTGGATCAGTGGACCCCACCTCTCCTCTCTTTTGGAGGTCTGATGAAGAATCAATCTACTGCCCAATTTTTTAGACAGAGGGTGTCTCCCCACCCCCTGGACCATCAGCATTGGAACCAAAAGACAAGATCTTGTTCTCACTGGAGAAGAAATACAGTTATCAACCATGTTATCTGGACACACGGTCAAGTTACACAAGCACAGAGATTACTGGGAAGTAAACTCTGATATAAATTGAATTTGCAACACTTTTAACTGGCATTTTGGCTCTGCTGGCAAGCTTTCTTTCCTCAGGAGAGCAAAACTGGAGGAAAGGATGGCTTTACCAGGATGGAATGGCCCATCCTGCTATGGGACCTTTCAGGAAGCAATCCCAAAACTCCAGGAGATATTTTTACATACGTACACATGTGGGCGAGGTGGCCGGGTGCCCCCTGAAGGTACCTGCGCTTGCCTTTTGGAGAGAAGCCCTACCTGTGAGTGAGAACGATCTTCAGACAAGGGCTACCCGCCCGACTCAGGTGCCCTGAGGACCCTGCCCTTCCACACACACCCAGGACAGAAGCTGCCTTGCTGGTCTGAAAAGAAGGACTTTGTTCCCGGTACCTCCAGCCTTCGAAGGCCAAGGAGCAGAACCAGTGCACAGAATAACAACCCCTCGCCCCTTAAGTGCCAAGTCTGAAAAACTTCAGAGAATAGAAGAGGGTGGCTGGAAGTGGAACGGAGCCGCACAAGAAGCAAAGTGCGAGGAGGGAGAGGCAGGCAGTAAAAATGAAAGTGAAACCTTCCGTGCAGAATATGCCACAAGTCTTTGGATCTTTTGTGCACAGCCGGAGGTTTATCATATTAGTCTTTCACTGGAGGAGAAAACTGGTAATGCAGAAGAAGCCCAGTTTGGGAGTATTTTAAAGACGTTTCTCTTCCTACAGGCAAGGCAGGCATGCATGCAAATGATGCAGAAAATTGTTATTTAAATCTAGTCTTCCTGAGTAGCGATTTAAATCAAATCCATCCTGATCGCTAGCTCCCCCTCTTAGTATTGTTAAAAAAGTGAACACTCCCCCCAGATTGTAAAACACAACTGAAAAATGAAGGTGCAAGAAGGAAGTATTTCTGTATCACAAAAAGCATTGTGTGTTCTGAAAGCATTCATGTCATCACTGGCACTTAGCGAGAAGCTCTCAAATGCCCAGCTCTTTCCACCCTCTGCCATTTTCCACATTTCATAATCATGCCTGGTCTTGCTTGTTGTATTTATCATAAGTCACTCTTCTAAGCACTGAGCAAAAGTGGGGCAGTCCTGCCAAGTTTCTGTTTCCCCAAATAATTAGGTTTCGTTTCTTGCCTTTCGCATTTCAGGGAGGAATGTTTGAACTTCCTGGTAAGAATCATCTCAGGGCTGAAATCAACCTTTTGTTAACAAAAAAGCTCACACACCAAAACGCCTGAACAGTTCGATTCCTTCATGCCGATATTCATTGGAATAAAGTTTATCCAGAGTTAATAGGGAAAAATATGACACTAGGCATCCAAATTTAGACCAAACCAGATGGATGTGCCAGGTGTGAATGCAAAGTTGCTTGGGTTTTGATGTGTCCTATATTTGAATTGTTAAAATCTGCAGGCTTGTGCGAAGCCACCAGACTCAAACGAGGAAATACCTAAATAACAGGCAACGTCACCCCCAGCCCTAAGCATAATGCAGCTCAGATGTGCCAAACCAGCTGACTTTAGCTCTTCTGGAGTTTTTCAGCCATCTCTCCCAGTTTACTTTCTAGGTTAATTTTCTCTTGTGCTCCTATTTCCTCCCAAAAGATCTTCCTGAAGCAAAGGTGTTCTCCATGAGGAACATCTTCTCCCACCCGCATTCCAAACGTAAACATCCCCAAGAAAGCCAGAAATGGTCTTGGGAACTCTGCCAAGTTTCACTGGCAGGATGCTAATCTGGGACTTTAAAAAATGACACTGTGATTCTAACAGCCTTCTTGCCATGTTATCTGCATCTCCACCCATGGAAAGCACATTTATTTTAAGGTATTTCTCTCCTGCCCTTCAATCCATGGCAGGAATAGCTACCCCAAAAGAGTAGATGATTCATACAAACCAAAGTCAAGAAGTCTTAATTAAGCCAAGATAAAATTCCAGGCTATAAAGGAATTGTTAAGCTTAGAAAAGAGCTGAGTAAGGGGAGAGAGGATAGATGGTTTCCCTACCAGCAGTAAAGAGGGAGGCCATTTTCTTCCTATCCCATAATACTTGAACTCAGGATTACCCCATTAAGCTGATTGGTGGGCAATTCAGGACAGATAAAAACGGTGTCTTCACTGGGGTGGAATTCTCTGCCACCAGAAGTAGTGATAGATGCCAAGCTGGGTGGCTTCGAAAGGGAATCTAACCATTCATGGAGGGGGAAGGGGCTACAAGGCCACTAGCCTTGCTGGCTACTGTCAGGCCCACATGAGCAAACCCATAATATGGCTGCTACAAGCCTGACACTTTAAGAACAGCTCTAGGCTTGGGACAGGATTCCTGATCCGGCCAGGAATCCATGTTGCAAGTCTGGCTTCCCACATCCGCCTTCGGAATGCTAATGGGGCCTGTCCTGAAGATCTTTCTTTTCCTATTGTGTTGTCTTAATCCCATTCAACCCTTCTGCTTTATTCTCACTGTCTCTAGCAAACTGCCTTCGGGACCCCCACCCTTCAGCAAACTGTACGTAACTGATGCCCATTTGCCCTTCTAGAAATCCACTTCTTTTCATTCCTGCTGTTTTAGGGTTAGGATTAGGGTTAGTTCTTTGTTCCTCCCAGGAAGACCAGATCACAAGACAGAATAGGGTGTTTCCTGGGCCCATTCCCATGCCAGTGCAAAGTGCTACAAACTTGTCCATACGTAAAATCCAGAGTTTCCTACAAGAATTAGGCATCAGACAGAGTCCAGTTCTATAGGTTAATCATTCATATTTGGACAACTTTTCTGCTGTACTTTAACGGAAGGAGAAAAATAATCATTACTTTAACAGGAACAATTTAAATAGGTTTATTTAACTAAAACAATAACATTATATGTATTTTTGTATTTGTTTAAACATCCATGTTTGTTAACTGATGTGGTTAAACAAAGTATCGTTTTAAAACAACTTAGGCTATCAGGCCAGTCTATGCATGAAAAACTTAAAATACTGTCCTCTCTATATTTCTGTTGTGAAGACAAGATGTGTGAGCTGTGCAGACACAATTCAAGAACTGCAAAACCAAGCATCTGTGATATTATGTTCTCGATGGAAAAATTCCCCAGAAACCTCTGGAAAACCATGACTTTGTGAATGGATTGATGGAATTCATTTACCAAAAAAAATTAAACATTGCATGAATATACAGCCCCATGCTGCATCATCAAAAAAGAATCTTTATTTCATGGTGAATAACTTTAGACTATCATGTATCTTAAACAGAAAACTATCTTTAAATAGATTTTTTTCCTCAAAAAGCATTTTATTTAAAAATAATTTAAATCAGAAATTCAGTTTTTAATCTTTGATTTTTTCCAGGTATATGTCTGGCTTATGGTTGCATGGCTTATCCAGTTGCAATAGATTCCACGCACTGGTTTAAAGGTTCGGGGTTTGTGAGCATGGCTTTGCAACCTAGGGACACAAGCCGATTCTTAATGGTCACAAACTGGAATAATGGACGCATACATTAAGCAGGAGAAGCTATCCATAGTGCTCGGCAGCTGCCCGGGTTCCTTCTGTTTTGAAAGCGCAAATCTTACATATCCCAAGGGTTGTCCCATTTTCGTGCAAAACTGACACCCACAAGTCCGCGTGCCCCTAGTCCGCAGGAGGCAATTTGCGCCAAGGCTCTTCCCGTGACCATCTTCAGCAACAGCCCCCGCCATGTCCCTGGATCTAACAAACTCCCGAGAACAAAGATACCTCTGAACATGCGCAAAGTGCTCTCCTACGGAGTTCAGCCAAGAGGGTCGCCCGCTCTGTGGGGACGGGCCTGTCCTCGGGCTCTCCCTGCGCCCCGGGACGTCCTTCCTTACAACCTGCCTGCACACCCGTGCCCAGAAGCAAGCCCAATGTGTCTCCCGGGCGCGCTTCCTTTCCTTTCCTCGGAAAGCGTGCCAGGCGCTGCACGTCCGACACGAGGCGCTGCCCGTTCCCACAGCCCGGCCAAGCCGCGGGCGCGGCCTTCCCCAACCCGGCGCCCTCCAGATGCGCGCGACTTGGACTCCCAGCATCCCCCACCCCGCAAAGCCGCCTCCGCCTGCAACCCAGGAGGGGGGGGCGCGACGCTCGCCCCGCGGGGGGCCCGCTGGAAGACCCCTTCTGGGGAGAGGCGAGGGGGGCCGGAGGGGCGGGCGGCTGGAGCGCGGGGGGCGGGGTGGAGGTCTGCTGCGGGGGGCCGGGGGGGCCTCACCTCTCTGCACGCAGAGGCAGGAGGCCAGCACAATCGCGAGCGACGCCTTCATCCCGGCAGCGGCGGCTCTCCTCTTCCTCCTCCCGGGACTCGGCGGGCCGCGCGAGCAGAAAAGGGGCGCCTCCGCGGCCGCCCCCGCCCCGCGGCCTGCCCACGTGCCGCTCTCCTCGAATCGCCGCCCGCCGCCGGCCCCCGGCCCCCGCTCGGCGGCCCCCCTTCTGGGCGGGGAAAGCGTGCGCGGGAGGCTCCTCGGACCCCCGGGGACGCCCCGCCCCCGGAGCCCAGCGCCGCGGGCACGGACCGGCAGCCGCGGCCCAGTGGCCTGCGCGGGGCGCCGGGGGCGGGGGCGGGTGCGGAGCCTCTCCCCGTCCGCGGTTAAGCCCGACGTGGGACTGGCCGGCTCGCCCCGCGTTCAGCCCGGCATCCAACGCTGCCTGGGCAGTGCCTGCCAGCACTTCCTGCGTGCATCTCGCCCAGCACTGCCCTCACAGACCGGCAGCCACGCTCCGCGCGGCAGCGTTTTGTGCCAGGATCTTGCCTGCCGGCCAGGCCAGGGTTCAGATCTGGGGCCTTCTCCATCCAAAGGTGCAGGTCTGCAGCAGCCTCTGCTGTGCCCAGTCGCCCGCTCATTGATGACCCGCTGGAAAATGTGACTAGGCTGCTCAGACCTGGGGGAAGCTCCTAAGAACCTTGGTCCATCATGGCCCAGGTGTTCGTTAGGGTGGTGGTGGGGAACCTCTCAGAGGTGCAACAGTCCTGAGCTACTGGCAGAAAGCAGCAGCGCAGTGACCGCATTTCTGATGAAAGGGAAACACGGAGGTGCAGCTGAAGGCGAAGATAACAGAACTCGCTCGTGACTCCGGAAGAATAACACAGCTTGGCATTCCTGATGAAAGAGAAAGAAGGAGGTGCAAAAGCCTGCAGCTGAAGGCGAGGATAACAGAACTCGTGACTACGGAAGAATAACACAGCTTGAATGTCAGCATCGACGTTTAAACTGCAAAAGGTATTGCATAACTTGGCTCAATCATTAATTCAAAAGGAGGCTGCAGCCGAAAAATTAGAAGAAGGCTGAGACTTGGGAAAGCAGAACTGAAAGACCTAGAAAAGATCGTCACTGGAGACGAAGGCCAAGATCATCCATCCGTGCTCGTGTATTCCCAGTCACGGTGCGCGGACCGTGAAGAAAGCTGGCAGGAGGCGGGCGTTCAAAACATGGTGCCCTGGCCTAACAGGAAGACAAGTAGGTGGGTCCTGGATCAAATCAAGCCAGGACTACCCAACTGAGGCTGCTGTACTTCAGGTGCATCCCGAAAAGGCAAGACTCGCTGGAGAAGGCAGGAGTGCAAGGGAAAGCGGAAGACAGAAGGAAAGGAAGAACCCATGAGAGATCAGTTGACTCCATGAAGGAAGCCGCAGTCTTGAGGTTCCCAGAGCTGAGCCATGGATGGGACAGTCCGAGAGCAGTCATCTGGATGCCGTTAGTCAGAGACAACTTGACGGTGTTGGGAAAGTCCAAATCCTCAAATAAAAGAATATGCTTTAATATAAGGCAGCAGAGCCCTTACTCTCCTTTCCCATCTGCAGGGTTTGTTCCTTACTAGTTCCCTCTCTGGGGGCAGAGGAGAGAAAAGCAGCCCCACTCTATGCTAATGATCCACATGCTCTCAGCCTCCTTTGCAATGCAAAAATACCCAGCCAGCTGATGCTTTGTCTTAAGGAATTGTGTACCTCTGATTGCAAAACCACAACATTTTAAACCTGTTAGATTTCCCCTGATAGTTTTATCTGTTACTCAAGCCTTAGATGGGTCATTATGCTTTCTATACTGATTTCTCAATGTTTCTGTATTATTCCCCATTGTCCTTGCCTTCTCACCCATTCAGAATCTTGTACATGACCCACAACTTACAAAAAACTCTGTCTATGCTCTGGAAGCTCATAGCCAGTTGAGGATACTGGTTACCCAACTGCACTGTTGTTGTTGGTTTTTTCCTCTGTCAGAGAAGGATTTCTGCTTATCCTGCTAATAAACTGCCAAAACTGAATGTAGTGGCTTCAGTGTGGATCTAAACATGCATTCTCCTGGTTCTCTTCTTGGCATGGAACAAGAACAAAGGAATCAGGCTGACTTCTCTTGGAAGCAGGGTACTAGGTGGACCTAGGAGGGGATGTGCTGGGCATCCTGGGATAGCAGTGTTCAGACACATAAATATTAGGAGCAGAATCTGTTAACTGAGTAAGCAGTAGGTTCTTTCATAGACATCCAAATGTATTTTCCATGCATGAGAGATCTTTGGCCATTGAACTCTGGGTGATTAGGAAAATGTGACTACCTGCAATGTTTGAGAACGTTAAAGACTTCAGCAAGGTTCTTCTTCTATTACAGAAGAATTTAACATGAATTAAAATCACACATCAAGGATATTAGAGCTACACGTGTGTCCAGGGAACTGGGACCAAACATTAACCAAAGATAGCAGGCATTTAATGTCAACAGTCATGTGAGAGAGAATGTCACTTTGGGGAGAAAGAGCATCACGGGGGACTGCGAGGGAGTTTGGGACAGGCTGAGAGCAAAAGCAGGGATTTGGGACAACAGTGGAGAGAAGGGCATGGGCGAATGACAGGCAGCACTGAAGCCAAAGGGTTTGCAAGTTTGGAATTGGGTCCAATATTAGGAAAAAGTGGGGAGAGAGAATGCATGGGGTGTGGGCTCCTAGAAGGAAAGCAGCAGTAAATATAAAACTCCTCCCAAGCTGCTGACTCCCGAAATGCTGGGAAGCCCAATTGAGCTCCATCTCCTGGAGAGAAGGAGAGACCAAAAGAGGGTTGGGAATTGCTCCTTGGAGCAGAAAACGCTCCATATGCTCCTAAGATCATCCACTGAGGTCTTCTCAGGGAACCTCAAAAAGAAGTACGGGCCTTTTCAGTGGTGGCACCACAGTTTTGAAACATGCTCCCCATCTTTGCTTTCTTTTGGTGCCAGGTGAAAACCTTGTTCTTTTCTAGCTAGTTTAATAGTTAAGTGCTAGTTTTATGATCATTGCTGCAGCGCCATGTTTTATATCTGCATATGGTCACTGGGTTGTTGATGCTATTGTCTTGGGTTTATTGTGTTATTTGAATATGACTGTGGTTGTTTATATGTTTTTTAAAATTTGTAAACTGCCCAGAGAGTCTGTGGGCATTGGAGCAGTATAGAAGTGTGAGATTTGTGTGTGTGTATCACACACACACATGCACACACACACACGAATGAGGGGTCTGTCCTGAAGAGAGAAGAGAGCTTTTCTGCACGCCTATGAATCTGGCTTGGTCTTTTGAGCTCTCTTCTCAGGATCTGGGTATCCCCATAAAACCAAGTTCTCCTAACATTCCTCAGGGATGTTGGGAAATGGACTTTTCGGTGCAAGAAATTCAGAGAAGAAAGAAAACAATGGCCTCTAGTTTCCTTCCTAACGTGAGGAAGTTGACGGATTGTATTTTGCGTATCTCCGTCTATCACAGGTCCAGGTGAGCAGGTCAGCCAGAGGGCCCGAGGGATTATCTCAAACAAAGGTGACAAAGCCCGCAGCTTTTCGGGACCCTGTTGTCCACAGCGTGGGATTCAGTCCTGGCGTGGGCCATAGCCAGCCAAGCGCTCCTGGGTGTGAGGTGGGGAAAGCTTTAGTCTGCAGAAAAAAGGTGTCCATGCACAAAGCAGGGAAAATGGAGCCGGGGGGGGGGGGGATCTTCCCTTTCTGTCACATTTCATAGGAATGTCAACAGGCCAGCACAGTCTCGTCTTCCAGGGTTCACAGAACCACCTCCTTCCTAAACCCACGTACGGGCACATCCGGAGAAAACTTGGGTCTGTCCTTCCATTGCACAGAGGAAAAGCCCCGCTGCATCGGAGGACAAGTCCATCCGGTCCGGCACTCTGTGGACACGGGGGCAAATGGGCTGTCCACAGGGCCCCTCCGGCAGGATGGGTGCAGGGCCTCTGCCTGCCCAGCTGCTCAGTGACCAGGGCATGCCGGCAGTGACCAGGCTAGTGGCCACCAATCCCCTCCTTCCTTGTCAGCCTCCCCACTTCCTTTTTAGAGCCATCCTGATTAGCAGGCATCACCACTTCCTGTGCCAGCGAATTCCACTGTTTACTGCAAAGAAGCCCCTCCTTTGATCTGTCCTAAACCTCCCCCCAGCCAGCTCCGTGGGATGACCCCTTTGGGTTCAAGTGCCCCCCTTTCCCCTTTCTCCACAGCAAGCATTATTTTGAGCACCTCTGTCATGCCTCTTCTTCCTCACATTTTCCCCTCATCTGAACAGTCCAGGCTGCCGTAGCTGCTCCTCACGGAGGGCCCTGATCATCTTGCTGCATTTTTCCCAGTCAAATAATGTCCTCTTTCGGCTAAGGCCAGAACCGTACACAATATTCCAAGTGTGGCCACACCGAAGACTTTTATCAGGGCAGTAAGGTTTTGACACATCTGTTTTCTGCTCCGTTCCGAGGGACGTGTTTCCCTTCTTCACAGCAGCTGGGCCAAAGTTTTCACTGAGCCATCCGCCCCACCCCACAGCCCCTCCCGTGCTCAGCCCCTGCTACCACAGATCCCATCAGTGTACACCTGATTGTTTGCCCCATCATTCACTACACTTACGTATCTATGCGATTTTTCTTGGATCGCTTTTTCTTTTTATTTTGCTGCAACAGGAAGATTGGCACCTATTTCATGGCAGGACCTGCAACGCTTTTAGTCCTGAGGCATCTGAATTTTGTAATTAAACTCTGAGGAAATAAGGTAACCAAAGCAAAGTGGCTGGCAAGACAGCCGGATGCGAGAAGACTGTTCCTCTTTTGACCAGCAAGGGCCGCGTGTCCAATGGCGGAATGATTTTCTCTTCCCCAAGGACCAAGCCCCCCCCCCCCGCGTCTTCCTCCAGGTAGAGGTCTCTTCATAACAAAGCAGAATTTGGGGGTGCTTCATAAAACTGGGGACAGGAGGCCCAAAAGCCACTGTTGGGCAGCTCTGGTCTTGCAACCAACTACACAGTCTCAGAATGTTTTATGGAGGGCAGACCTGTTGGCCTGTTCCAACAAAGACAAGAGTCTCAAGCACCTTAAAAGATGAAAGGATTCTGGCACCCACTGCCGGGAACTATA